ACACCACGGAAGAGAATGACATTCAGTGTAGAACATAAATTAAAGATGAAAGAGGTCAGGATTTCTCTAAATATAAATTTTTTAAAAGACAGTAAAAGCAGGAAGATGTAACCAAATGCATGGAACGACAACCCTAAGATGTAACTGAATGCCTCTGATCATAATGAAATTAAATAATAGTATAAAGGAAAAGAAGAACAAGAGCCACAAGACATATCAGCTAAGATCTCTGAAAGTAGAAACGTATACAAAAGCAAGAGCCGTACATACACCAACAATTTTGAAATTGACATGCAAATTGAAGAGATTTCATGCATAAGATGGAAAAGAAAATTGTGATTTGAGAAACACATTGTTTTCACCTATCTTGCATTGCTTTTGACGCCCTTAGTTGGTCACTGCGTACGAGCAAATGAACATGGCCGGCATATTTTGTTAAGTATAATGCTTCCTCTGTAGCTGTATCACCCCCTCCAACCACAGCAAGGACTTGACCTTTAAACAATGGTGATGCTCCATCACATATTGCACAAGCACTAATTCCCCTACTCCAAAATTCATCTTCACGAGGTAACCCCAGCCTCTTTGCAGTAGCTCCAGTAGCAACAATAAGACTATTACATTTTACCTGAAAAGCAGTAATCCACTTTCAATCTTTTCATCAAATTTTAATCAGCATTAGCCAGAAGCTAAGGTTTACAGAGTTACATATCAGAGTTCCACTGAATTGAGTTCACTGTCAACGATGAGTGGAACATTCATAAAAATACATGAACATAGATAATGGACGAATAGTTGTATATTATGAAGCATGGATGCATTGACATGTAACTTTTTCAAAAACTAGAAGGCGAACATGCTGATTAAGATTAAAAAGTAACATTAAGAGGAGTGACTATGCCACCCTCCCTTGTATTCTTGTGAGTTCCATATATATTATGGTTGGGGTTGGGGAATTCTAACCCATCATCCTTCTTTGGTGGAGCTTAAAAATCCACCAAGGATGAGTTGGTGATTTGTTTAATAAAAGAAGAGGAGTGGTCATGCTTGTCACAGTGCTTACATTCATCTACAATTTATTTGATAAATTCAGATATGTCTACGTGAATACATGCAGAATTGACAAATGCTATGCACGTAACATTTGCATGAAATGGGCATTTAAATGGAACAATAATACGGTTAATCATTCCAAAAGATTGTTTTACACCATCAGAATGGCATGGGTCATTTTTGTTTACTGCCACCTCATCCAAAATTTAAGAATGTTAGAGAGGGAATGTATATATAACTCTGTTTGGTAGAGATATTATGAGGAAAAAAAAGTTTGTGAAAAGTGACTTTGTTTTGGAGAGTTTGTGGTTAAAAAATAGGAAAAATTTTGAGTTTACGGTTAAAATTGATTTATTGAGAGAACGTGTGGTTCAAAATTAGTTTGGGAGAAATGAGTTTTAAAAAATAGGGCCAAACAAGCGCAATTTATGTTTGGCACCTCTCTTCAAGAAAGCTAGAAAGCAGAAGCTAAGGAAAAGGCATTTGATAGGATGAATCTATCTATGCACCTACTCAATTATCTTCGACACATCCTCTGTAGTTCAGATTCATTTTTTCTTCAAAGGCTTGATACATGGATTTTGATACATGAATGACAGCAAGTCTTGAACTCAAAATCTTTGCTTAGTCCGATACGATATTAAACCATCTCAACTAAAAACTTAGGTTGTTAAAGGGGGGATATTTTATTTATTTGCATTTGTATATTCAACATTGTTTACTGCTAAATCTTATGAAATATCATGATGGTGTGCTTAAGTTATTAAGCAAAGATTGCTCTCTGTCTATTGCTAAATGCAAGCCACAGGACTTCAACACGGTCATAAATCAGTTTAAACAAGCTAAGCACAACAAATAAAGGACACATACCATCACAGCCACAGGTCCTTATTTTTGTCCAGAAAACTATAGAATTCTCTGTGTACAAAATAATGAATAACCATAGGGGATTCTCGAATAATGGTTTTCTCGGATCTGACTCATTAGAGTTTTGTCTCAGTAGTTCAGCAAATACTGCAATATGATATAAGATAACCTGAACTGAAAGGAAGCATTACCTTGCGTTCACTACTTTGCACAGTGAAAGGTATGTTTTTCACATCAATTAATTCCACATCTTCTTGAAATAACTCCGCTCCCCAGCGCTCGGCTTGCTTCCGAATCCTAGTGAAATTGACAATATAAAGATTCTGATCTCTTCGAATCACAACTGTATCAACTAATGTAAACATTATTAAGGATCAATTCAAAACTAGCAATACTTTCAAAAAGTTCACGTACCTGTCCATTAAGTCTGGACCAGTTATTCCATCTGGAAACCCAGGGAAGTTCTCTACTTCAGTTGTGGTCATCAATTGTCCTCCAGGAACACCACCTACTTGATATCCCTCAAACACTAAAGGCTTCAAGTTGGCTCGAGCGGCATAAATTGCCGCTGTGTATCCAGCAGGACCTGATCCTATAATTACCAGATTCTCAATAACCTGAGCTGCAAGAAAGGAAACATCAAATCCTGTAAGTACAACATTAATAGATCCATCTAATAAGTATCACTCATGTTTTGGAACCATTGGTGAAAAACTATTAAAGACTTTTTTTATTGATCAAATAATTATTGGATAAGCAAAAAAGAAATATCATTTAGGCTCTGTCTATGCCCCATTTTTTTGAAAAATGACTTTTGTAATAGAGTTCGTTTTTTTTTTCTTTTCTTTGTGGGGGTAGAATGCGTGGTTAAAAAGTAGGAAGAAGTTTGGGTTTACGTGCAAAATTATTTTATAGGGAGAAATTGTGGTTGAAAAAGAGTTTGGAAAAAATATGTTATTAGAGAGAGGCTCAAACAGGGGCTTGATGAGAATGATATAAGGTCAACAAAGTGGGGGCTAGGAATTTGGCCTTGTGGGGATGATATCATTTTATACAATCATTCTTAAGGATGAAGTCTTAGCACTTGAGAAGATCCAAGTGGAAAATTGTTGAATGTGTGGAGGATTAGTCCCCGAGTGGGAGATTGTTTGATGGGTGGAGCCTAATTACAATGTTTATTTATTATAAGGGTATAATGGTTAGTCCATTCATATACTACATAGCACTAATTTTATAAAGGATATTAGGCAAGCATCTTTTTGTGCCCATCTAGGCGTATAGAGAAAAAAGAGAGGCGAGAGAAAATCATTCTTCTTCATCTATATAGCGAAATCCTGCTATGGAATCAAGTAGGCATGGGTCTCGCATTGCATTGAGAGTTAACCAATCTAAATGGCATATTTTTTTCGTTTGCTTTTGTTTTATGTTTCATGTTACTAATTGCTCTCGGTAGTATAGATTAATCGTCTAATCCATAACACTACCAATATCTCAAAAGCTAATCCTATAGCTTTCAGCTAATTTCTCATAAACCTTGTCAATGTAGATCTCCTATACTCGCACAAGGAGCCACAATGGGGTTCATCAGGCATGGATGACCGCTGTTAATCAGTTGGCAGCATAGTAACAAAAACTGCAGCCACTCATGAGTGCATTGTACTGTGTTAAATGTTTGTCCAACAGTTTGCAGTCTTTTCAGCATCCCATTCTTGAATTAATTTTTGTACTTCAGTAATTGCTTCTTTACACTACAAGTGCAAGTATATATATTCTCCATAAATTCATACTTTTTAGTTTTTGCGGTTTATTTCCCTTTTAAGTTACTAAAAATCTGCTCTTCCTTTATATTATCATCCAAAATTCATCAAGTCAATGCTCTCACTGGTGCAAGTTACAATCTTTCTTGGAAATGTACGCTACAATTTGTATCATTTTCCCACTGAATTTTAATTATGAATAAGAAAAAATTCACTAACCAACTCAATTATTCAGTAATCACACAAGCTCTATCCATATACGTGTAATAAGTACCCGTCTGTCGTATATAATTAAAGAGAGAGAGGTGTGACCTGTAGAGCTAGGAAGCTCCGCAGTGGAAGCAGTGGCGGAGACGCGAAATGACGGAGAGCAGAGACGATGGTGATTGAAGCGACTGGCTCCAACTGAGTCAAATCGAACGGCATGTCTGCGAGTCGGCCCTCCTTTAACGAAGACTAGATTGTTCCGGGCGGGAAGAATAGCAATGGAGAGAGTTGAGGGAGTGGCCATAGCGGAAGCCGCTGCCGCTGCCTCGACTTGGAGAGTTGAATAGCAAGCGAATCGAACTCGGATTCCGATCCTGGCACCGAACCCGAAACCGTTATGAGGACAGGGTGTAGAGGGAATGGTCGTGCAAGTGTTAGCCATATGTTTCGGACCACAATATATCCTCTAAAGTCCTTTCTTCTCTCTCACACGTTTAAATTCTGTGTTACTCATTTTTTTTTTAAATGTATTTTTTTTTCTTCTTTTCAATCACTCATTTTTTATTAAAATAATATTACACGTAAATAAAAAACTTTTCCTTATCTTTTAACCACACATTTTCCATCGATTTACTATTCAAAAATACATTTTTACATAAAAATGACTTTCAAACACTCACTAAAATTTGAAAAAGGAAAAAATCAACAAAATCATAGGAATTCGGTTTCCACTAAATTGGCCAAGAACACACTTTAAGGGTGCGTTTGATTACAAGTATGAAATTTACATAGAAAGAAAATAAATTCTAGATAATTCAATCGCCTAAAATTTATTTATATGAAAATTGTCAATTAAATGTGTTTGATTGATTTAATTTTCAATCTAAAAAATATTATACTTGCCCATTTTTTATTAATGGATTAATGAGAGAGAGTGAATAAATAAGAGAGAGTGGATAAATAAGAGAGAGAAAGAGAGAGTGAATTTCTTGAAGAATAAAATCCTACTTTTCCTAAAAAAATATTTTCCTTGATTTTCACGTGACCAAAAGTGGAAAAATATTTTCCATGAAAAAAATAACAATCAAACAACACAAAAGTAAGAATTTAAGAGAAAAAACACATTTTTCCATTAAAAATATAATAAATCAAACGCACTCTAAATGTTTGTACCTTGAAATTCGAATTTCATTTTCACTTTCAGATCAAACAGCCTAAATAGAAAGCGAATTTCTCGGTTGACATTTTTCATATAATTTAATGCTATCAAACGAACTTTTAGGCGAAATTACTAGAAAATATAATATATTTTAGATATTTGCTATAAATGTTTGTCCATATTTTCTAATCCAAGAATTAAGCTAAAAAAATTGTTGGAAATATTGTTCGTAGACTTGCACGATCCCAATATATTTTTGTTTGGCTTCATTATTTAATCTTCTTGATAATATGTAACAACTATTCTCAAAGTATTAATGCCTTCACAAAATGCAGAAGATCCCAAGTGCAAGTCTCTGTCTAATAACTAACACATTCTTAACAATCACCGGCGAACGACGAGCTTCCGTTCAACTGGATGGCAACGACATAGTCGAGATACTAAAAACAAACATCATCAACGCCTCAAAAATCCCGATTTCTATATCCCTAACCAAACGGTTTACTACATCGTGTAAGTACGGGATTTTTACACGAAATAAAGGCGAAAAAATGATGTTACTTAGAGCCAATCAATATTGTACATCACACAACCTATTTACTCATCCACTATGTACGTCAACTTGTATCACTCAATAAACAACATACACTTTACAAAAAATTGGCGAACGTTTCATGAGAAATCGTATCCCCTCGAAATTTTTTCCGATGTCGGATCAGAATATGCGAAGGCGGCAGGTCCTCATGGATTCGCAGCAAAATGGTTAAATATTGTTTCGAGCGTAGATTGACTGAGGCTGTACTCCGATATACCAAGTTCATTTCTGCAGGAAAAGATTTTTTCATAACATTTAAATCCCGATTTTCAATAGAAAATGTAAAACAAATTTGTAAAGTGAAAAAAAAGTATTCACCTGTTTCTTTCTATGTGCCCAAAAACGTCTGCGAGCGAGAGGTCTTCTCCGTATGGCAACTGCCGTAAACATAAGATCAGTCACTAACTGATTTAGAAATCAATAGGCAGACAGTGACAGAAATCAACTCAATCGTCCCATGAATGCAAAAATCAACTTAAAAATGTGTTTGGTAAAGGCATAATTTAAATAAATGAATACATCCCTTCTGTATCGGCTTAAGCTTTTAAATGAGATAGTTTAGCATGGTATATGAGCAGGTAGACACGCTGAATTTGAACATCAGAGTTGTGCACGTGTCATGCTTTTGATAAAGGATGAGTAAGGCTTGCACTTTCCTGGAGACTAAATTTGATAAATTAATGAAACCACTGAGACAACTTAAGCTTTTAAATAAGATGATTCAACATAATATCATAGTAAACAAAGGTCTTAAAGTTCGAGTCTAAGTGTGATCCTTTTATGAAAATCATACACATATTAAGCCTTTAATATGAAATGAATCCAGATTGCATGTGAGGGGCATGTTGAAAAGTAAACTTAATCCACTGGTGAAGAAGACGGAAACTATAGATTGCTGTTGTATCAACAATAATTGGCCAAATTACTGTTTCCTCGTCGATTTTCGGATTTGTGAAGGACGATGTATTGAAAACAATGACCGGAAAATAATTCAATTGTGACTGGCAATAAAATCTTTGACAAGTGAAATACCTGATATTTAACGCTCAACCCGTTGCAACTTTGATACGTTGCACCCGGAAATGAAGATTGGATGAAAGAATCAATTACTGCAAACTTTTCTTTGGTTAACCACCACTCTGAAAATATTGGCAGAGGAATGCCACCTATAATAACATAACAACAGTAAAAATAATATCAACTACTGAAAATTAAAAGTAATAACAAGTGAAATACTAGTATGCAATATGGAAACAAAATGATCCAAACGACCCTGACATAGATCTGAGTTGCTGGTGATTAAGATCCATCTCAAAAAAATAATCCATTTTTGTCCATTTACAATCCTTATGTTCTCAAAGGGAGAAAAGGAGAAATGGCCTTTTCCTCTTTAAAATAATATTTTACACACAAATCAAAATTTTCTTCTTCTTTTTTAACCATACATTTCCATCAATTTACTATTCCATAATACAATACAAGAAATTAATGGGGCTCAAACAAGGCCTTATTTCTCACATTCTAAAAGGGTTATCATTTAGAAAGTAACTCTAGTGTTGGTGTCAAAATAAGTAACTTATAACTTCGACCAAACATACTCCTTAAGAGTTTTTCTAACCAAAGTTGCCTACCAACAGACTGACGCAAAAAACAAAAATTAAAAATGGATAGTGTTGGATCACACAACTTGGGGAAAAAAGGATTCGGTAACCAACCCCTAATAGGGACAGTCTTGGCTTGTTTTGTTGAATGAGTCTACTTATTCAAATAAAACTTCAACTTCACGTTGAAAAAACATTGATCAGGTGACAGAAGTGGACATACCATCACGAACCAACTGCTCTGATAACTGTTCGCCAAAAGCCCCACAAGATTCATTATTTCCAGAAACAAGAGCCTTCACTCTTTCTTCATTGCCAAGCCATCGTCCAATTCTCACAATCATTCCTTCTGATAAACTGATCTCTCCTGCTGATGCATTCTCGGATGTTATGGAGTCGATGCCGCCAATACATACTTCCAGGTCGTTCAGTATACTACTCCTCGGATGAGAAGGAATGTCAAAGAGCTTCTCTTGAATTATTTGGCACAACATTTCCAAGTCCAAGGAGTCAACTTCCGTAGGTTTAACCTGTAGATGGATATAATAATAAAAAATATGAGGAGCAAACTTCGTGGGTTACGGGTAAAATAAAATTAAAATGAAATATATCAAACTTCTTAGCATGAGACTAGAGAAAAATACCTCTAGTTCGAGATGATTCCCAAATCTATTTTTCAAATGTTGGGGACTCCCAATGCATCTTAGCTTGCCTCCAACCTAAAGACACATGCAAACAACACAATAATTAATGACTTGAATCTCTAACGAGCAAATCATAAAAAAGCTAAACGCCTTGAATGCATTCTTGGTAACGTAGATCAAACAATACTAGATACTGGATAATATTAAGAAAAAGAAGTTGAGATCTTGTTTATTGAACTGTCCTGTACTTGTTCAGAGTAATGCACACCAAACATGCAAAGAAAGAGTACCATTATTCCAATTTTTGTGCAAAGAGCTTGAGCTTCACTCATGCTGTGGGTGGTTAGAATGACAGCAGTCTTTCCTCGTCTGGTCGATAAGCGTGATATAACTTCCCACATGAATCGCTTAGCAATAGGATCCATACCTAAAATATTAAAACATGATACAGATGCAGCTTCTCAAGTTATATACCAGGGCAAGATACAGATATACCTATCTAAACAAGAAAAGTACTTCATTGCAAACGAGAAGGTTCCAAAGCACCATATAAATTTCTTCTTTATTGTACTTATATTGCAAAGATAGTACAGAATAACATAACACTAACCCAACTCAATAGATGACAATAGGATCCATACCTAAAATATTAAAACATTATACAGATGCAGCTTCTCAAGTTATATACCAGGGCAAGATACAGATATACCTATCTAAACATGAAAAGTACTTCATTGCAAACGAGAAGGTTCCAAAGCACCATATAAATTTCTTCTTTATTGTACTTATATTGCAAGGATGGTACAGAATAACATAACACTAACCCAACTCAATAGATGACCAATATACAATGGAATTTGACGTAAACTGGCTAACCTCCAAACCCTTCTACTCTCCAAATTTATGGGTTCACCCAAGTCTAATTCTATGAAACATTTTCATTCATTGGATATTGATGCTCCCCATTATTTAACAATACTGAATATATATAAACCAATTTTCTATCTTTTGCATGTCACAGGAGGGAGTTTTAAACTTGCAATTCAATTTCGAGGGTTAATCAAATAGATATGCAGAAATAAAGATTAAACTGCAAGGAATGAATCAGAGTAAATACCAGTAGATGGTTCATCAAGAATGACTATAGGAGGATCACCAATCATCGCAATTGCAACAGATAATTTACGTTTGTTTCCCCCACTTAAGGCATATGATGGTTTATTAGCATGCTTCAGCAAGTCAAATTCCACTAATTTTTCTGTAACAACCTGCCAAGATTCATCACTTGCATGAATCATGTGATATCGGACGATGTCAAATCCAAAATGTAGACAACGAAATATAACTATCATGCTTGATCTCAAATCAAAAAACTCTGACTCATTTGTTCAAAAAGGGTTGCAATTTGGGAGGAAAAAAGAATTATGAAGGGAGCTTAGAGAAATTATGTGTGAATTAAGGCTAGTTCCTAATAAAATGACCACATTTGGAATAAAAAAGGAACAAGTGAGGATTAAAGATCAGTATTGATCAAAACAGAATGGACCACAATGCATATCATGGTGTAATATCTTGGACTCAATTAAAATATACAAACGAAGAACGGAGAAAACAATTGACATTAATCCTTCTTCAGGAGCATAAGAAATTTACATACGTATTCAAGCTCGTACTCTGGGACTCCTTTTATTCTTGCATAGAGGTCAAGGTGTTCTCGTACTGTAAGAACTTCGAGAAGAGCATCAAATTGAGGACAATAACCAATCTAACATTTAAAGAATGAAATGAAAAAAGTCAGACATGTGCAATCTAATAGTTACCTTGACGAGGACCCTTAAAGCAATCCGAAAAACAAGGAAACTAATGAAGAAAGTTCTACATACATGTCGACGAGCAGCCTTTGGGTTTAATCTTATATCTTTACCAAAAATGAAGGCAGTCCCATCACTAGGACGTTCTTCTCCTGCATATTATAATTGAATAGAGAAAGATTATAAACCTTACTTGACCATGCCTATTGTTTAGGGGGGAAAAGGGAAACACATAAAAGGCATAGGAAAACTTCAGACACGATGATACAGGCAAGAATACCAACTAAGTATTCATTAAAGAAAAAAATCATTTCCATGGAAATATTCCAGTAATTTTTGGCCACTATAATGACTATAAAGGACAGATAATTTTTCTGAATAATTAATAATTATGGATAATTCTCACTGCTCATAAATGAACACACAAGCATAATAGTTTTGATTGTATGAAGTAGTTAATACCTGATAGCATTGACAAAGTTGTTGTCTTCCCTGCTCCATTAGTTCCTAGAAAACCAAAACACTCTCCTTCTTGAACTGAGAAAGTCAATGAATGAACAGCAATTTTTGAACCATTCTGCTTCCCTCCTGGATACACCTGAAATCACAAAACATATTACGTGACTCAATCAGATAAAAAGTACAACCCACACTCAAAAATTTACATATTTTAGCATGTTGCTGTACCTTCCGAAGATTATGCAGGTAGATTAATGCATTACCACCTGAACCAGATAGTACCCTATTTCTCTCTGCTAGCACATCAATGTCTTCATGATCTTCTGAGGAAGATGCAAGAAGAGGTTCTAAAGAGCTACCAGAAGTGGCAAGGAACAGTTTTTTCGAACTTGTCCACAACTGACAGGCTGTTGCAAGGTTTATCTTATGAAGAGGCAAGACTTCAAGACTAAGTGTCAAAATAAAGTAAATAATGCCCTGTAACATGTAAAAAAAGTTATGGGATTCACGTTTATCGAGTGACTTTTTAATTACCATCAAATATCAAAAACTTTACACATAGCTAGTTCTCTAGCAGCAGAGATTGAAGAGTAAATACAAAGAAAACCATGTGCATCAAACTACCATTAAAATAAGCTAGAATCCAAATGATGTATTACAATGCTTGAGGTGATTCTTCTATTTGTTATCTATGTATTTTTATCTCAGCAATGCATTTTCAATACTGGCATGTAGGAACTTGGGAACCAATTGTTTTTCCTTTTAATTTACTGGGGGAATCCCTCCCCACACCCAATCTCCCCTCCATTTTCCATGGACGGGTCCATCACAAAGTTATGCACCATATGGCAGAGGGCAAGTATGTCGACCACCCTTTTTTAGCACATTAAGCATCAATGTACATGGACAATACTGAGTTCAAAAGAAATTTCCATCAAGAAGTTTTCTGGGAAAATTTTCAGATCAATCATAAAGAGTGCATTTCAATCAGAAGGATTTATTTAGCCAATACTTCTAAATGCTATGTCTATACTCAATCTTCTCTATCCGTTCGGCAGTTTGCTTTATGAATAATGAATGAGATACACCAGTAACTTAGCAATGTATATATCTAACCTCGTGGTTACTTCATACATTCATATAACATGTAAAATTTATTTGACAAAAAAAAGTATTATCAACATCAATCAAATGTATTAATATGGAAGAGCCACTAAAATTTCAGTCACAAGATGTCCAATCTGAAAGAATAATCATATATAAAGAACCATTGTATGATTATGGAAACCAGGTTGTTCATTCTCAAAACAGAGCAAGGAAATTGCACACAATCTTAAGAGAAGAAAAGCACCTCTGCAGCCAGATAACATATAGAGGCTCCAGTGACGTTCCAGTCAAAAGCACTACTATCAGATCCAGTTTTCATTCCCTGCCGTAGAAGAGCTAATGAAGCTAACCCATCAGCAAAGCAAAAACCAGGTGACAACCTGAAAAAGTTCTGAAAAGAATTATCAAGTGTTAGATAGATGGCTTCTTTATTCCAGTACATACAAGAAGAAATGTGAAACTCAAGCATGTAAAAAGAAGAGAATACTATGCCCTTGTTTGAGCCCACTATTTGGTAAAAATAGATTTTGGAATAGTAAATTTTTAGAGAATGTGTGATTCAAAAGTAGGAAAAAGTCTTAGATTTACTTGTAATATTATTTTATTAAGGGAACATGTGGTTGAAAATGAGTTTGGAGAAAAATGTATTATTGAAAAATGAGGCTCAAACAAGGGCTACATTTAGAGCATGTTTCACTACGGTTACGAAAAACAAGTAATTACTTTCTAAGTAATTTAGTGTTTTCCAACATGCCGAGTACGCTACATTTTTCTTAATTAAGTAAAAAATGTAGCTTATTTAAAAAGTAACTCTTACCTTTTAATCAAAATGAACAACTTAATTTGTAACGACCCCGGGCTTTGTACCCAAGCCGTTAGCTTACGTACTGTCCGCTTTGGTTGGGCCTTGAGCCCACTTACTCCTCACGGCTTTCTGTTGCGTCCCCAGGATTCGAACTCATGACCTTCCTCTTAAATAAGACTTAAATTGAATCCTGGTACTAATCAGAATTCAAACTCACGACCTTCCCTTTAAGTAAGACTTAAGTTGAATTTTGGTACCAATTGGGCAATTTGCCAAATTGGTACCAAAATTCAACTTAAATCTTACTTAAGGGACTTAAGGGGAAGGTCATGAGTTCGAATCATGGGGGGCGCGACAGAAAGCCGTAAAGGGTAAGTGGGTACAAGGCCCACCCAAAGCGAGCAATACGTAAACTAACGACTTGGGTACAGAGACCCGGGTCGTTACAAAAAATGCACCAAGATTCAACTTAAATCTTACTTAAGGGGAAGGTTATGAATTCGAATCTTAGGGGATGCAAGAGACCCGGGTCGTTACAAAAAATGCACCAAGATTCAACTTAAATCTTACTTAAGGGGAAGGTTATGAATTCGAATCTTAGGGGATGCAACAGAAAGCCGTGAGAGGTAAGTGGGGGGCAAGGCCCACCCAAAACGGATAGTACGTAAGCTAACTGCTTAAGTACAGAGACCCGGGCCATTACAAAAAAACGCGCATTTTTTGTAACGACTCGGGTCTCTATACCCAAACCGTTAGCTTACGTACTGTCCGTTTTTGGTGGGCCTTACGCCCACTTACCCCTTACGGCCTTCTGTTGCGTTCCCCAACCCAATTGGTACCAGAATTCAACTTAAGTCTTACTTAAGGGAAATGTTATGAGTTCAACTCTTGGAGGACACGACAGAAGGCCGTGAGGGGTAAGTGGGCTCAAGGCCCACCCAAAGCGGAAAGTATGTAAACTAACGGCTTAGGTACAAAGATCCGGGTCGTTACATAATTATTTCCAACTTTAAGCAAAAAATATTTGTTTATTTTACAACCTACTTATTTACTTACAGCTAAACTTTTTAATCTTAGACAAACATGCTTTAATGACCACATTGATTCTAACACACACACACATGCACACACACAAAAAAAAAGAAAAAATTCTGTGTCATTCTAAGAAATGTTCTGACATTCATCTAAGATCATGAACACTTCAGACCGACTGAAAAGCCAACTCTCTGTTAACAAATCCAACAAAGTAAAATGACAGAATCCAGAATATATTCCAACCTTGAGAACAGAATTTGCATGAGCAGTTGACTTTATAAGCCCCATTATGAATGATATTACCATCAGAATGAGCCCAGTGAAAAGATTTACCAAGAGTACCACATTCTGCAGATGTATATACAAAATTTCAGCATTTTCAATGAGACAATCTCCATTCTTTATGAGTCAAATTTAGGAGTCAATACCTGGGCCATGCTGTGTTCAGAAAAGAAAAAGGTTAGGCAATATGTAGATGATGCAATTGCCAGTCCATATTCCAGGAACATGAGGACAGTTGGAAAAAGGGAGTCGCTCCCAATAAACTGATCAAGACCTAAAGAATAAATTGAAGAGGTGTTGGAGGATAAAAACATGTAAAATAAATTAAAACAATTCTATTACAGCTCAAATAATAAAATGAGGAAAAGAACATTCTTTAAGAATAAATAGAGAAATTCTTATTTTGTTTCCAAAAAAACTTAAGACGTTCCTTTTTCACATTGTTTCCTAGTAAATTTGTTAACATTAAGTGAAAACAGCAAATACCTCTCACATAAACATATTTCAAGAAAATATCTACCCGTGAAAACATTCGGTTAAAAATTACTACGTGAATGCAATAGTCCAACTACATACCAAATAGGCTAAAGAGAACTATTGCAAAAGATGAAGGCAATAAAAAGCTGATGAAGTCCCATAGGTACGTGGAGGTCCAGTATGACAGTATAGATACCTGAGTGCACATCAAAAACAAAGTTAACACGTATAATGCCAACTCAAAGAGCAATGGGAGGACTTTTAGCTAAACCATGAAAAGAAGAAATTCATACCCCACTTATAAGTTGTTGATGCTTAGCTTTTACTTCACGTTCCTGCATCAAGAAGGTACAAGCTCAGAAATACGGGCTAGCATGAATAGGTCAAAAGTTGGTAAAATCTAAGCATAATACTCAAAAAAAAAGGGTCTAATTTCTTAATACGAGCATAATGCATACCTGATAAATAAAGCTCGACATTATACTTAAAATGATAGGCACCCCAGGTAATAAAGAAAGCCTTTACATACAAAACTCAAGTAGAGAACAACTTATGAATCAAGTAACTCAAGTAATTTGGTCTACTTATAAGTTGTTGATGCTTAGCTTTTACTTCACGTTCCTGCATCAAGAAGGTACAAGCTCAGAAATACGGGCTAGCATGAATAGGTCAAAAGTTGGTAAAATCTAAGCATAATACTCAAAAAAAAAAGGGTCTAATTTCTTAATACGAGCATAATGCATACCTGATAAATAAAGCTCGACATTATACTTAAAATGATAGGCACCTCAGGTAATAAAGAAAGCCTTTACATACAAAACTCAAGTAGAGAACAACTTATGAATCAAGTAACTCAAGTAATTTGGTCTACCGAGTTCACCCGTGAGGATTCTTTGATTGCCTTACCTGTCGGTGTCTCAAGTACTACTCTCATCCTATGCATGCCCATGTTCAATCCTTTATATCAACTTAAAAATATTTTTGCCGTCCAGATTTGGTTTTGGTTAGCTTAATGAAAACCTGCCTTGCACCACCAGATTCAAGACTTCAACGGAAGTAACCACAAAAACTAAATCTGTTAGAAGAGAAAATTATTTATTTAGATCTTTTTCTTCGACACACCCCCTCACATGAAGGCCAAATTCATTACTCATTGAAGGCTTGACCATGTGCACAATTTTCATAAATAGGTTATACTGAAACTTAACTTCTTTGACTACTCTTGTACGGGAAGCACCGTATCCAAAAGATTAAGTTATTGAGAGGGCAAAAAGTTATTTATTAAAGTTTGTTTTCAACAGGAAGTTTCCAACAGATAGTGCAACTTATTGTGTCAAATGAAGGTGGTGCGGATGCGTTACGAAATTTTTATAATAAGAACTGAAATAAGAAATATGTAGGAATAACTTGTTTTGTATTAATAGAATAATGATTGATGATATGAAAATTGTACATTACCCCTATATTTATAGGCAAATTAATCCCTACTCAAATGGTATTAGGAAATTGAAATTAATGGAAACTATAATCCTAATCAAATAAAATATAAAAGTCCTATTACAACTAAATAGATAAACATAATTAAAAGATAAACTCCTAGGAAACATAATTGTAGTAAAAAACTAATAGTTGTGATGTACTACATCAGAAGGCATCATATATTATAGCACCATAGAAAGATTAAAATCATGTATTATAGCACCATAGTAAGAAAAATGAATTTTAACCAGAGTTCGGTTTACTTTATCAATGAAAACTACAATAAGACAATGATAAGGTCCTCAGGATCTACAGATTTTCCAATATACTAAGAAAATTAAAATCTTACCTTCACAATGGCCACAGCGAATGAAGCAGGAATAAAGGAAAAGGCGATATTAACAACAACAGCAGCAGAGAAGGCATCCAAATCCTACAAATAATTTGTCAGTCCACAGTTTATATAGATATGTTAAATCATACGAGGCCATAAAGAACTCGGAAGAAAAATCATCAAAAACACTAGTATTACTTAGAGAGAAGATTGATGATGTATAACACAAAGTTGTATGCAGAATAGTCAGAGTGATGGCATTAAATTCTTAGACCCTTCGGATATTGCTTAAGCCATCTAGTAACAATTTCACCATGTCGAGAAGAATGAAAGCTTTTTGGAATATCTTGCACAGAAATACTAAATTTACCGTTAAATAGAACATGATTCAGAGAGTTTTACCTCCTGTTCTATATTGTCTAATCGAGGAAAAATTCAATGAGAATAAAGAATACCAAACCATACATGGTGTTGCTGGAGCTGGCTTTCTGTCATGGGCAGAGGGTGATTCCGTGTTTTGATTGTCATATTTTCATCATGGGTAGCAAGCCTAAGCATTGCCGAGTCAATTAAATTAATAAAGGTTGGAGCAGCATGCTGACAGGTACTATTGTGCAGAACAGTATATCCTATACTCCCATCTTCACTCTGATTATCCATAACAATTGCTCCATACCTGCTCATACACATGAATGTGCTTAAAATTGAAAACGGACAGACAAATAGAATAATCTTCATTCGCAACAAATATAACATTTTCGAGAGAAATTCCACTCCGTTGTCTACCACAAACTACTGACAGCTTGAAAATTAAGTTAAGAAAAAAAAACATTCTGTTAAGGTTCTACTTGAAAGAACAAGATCAATAACTCTTATTAAAAGACTAAGCCCTTGTTTGGTTTTCATTCTTTCCTCATTAAAATGAGGAATATGACCGTTATCCATCACATCAAGTCATCAAATTCGAATTTTTATCTCTTATGTGGGACCCATAACAGCTATATTTTTCATTCTCATTCTAACAAAAATGAGAAACAAACGGGGGTTGAATTACAGAACCGGAATTGAAAACAAAAGCCTATAGAAGGCTGTAAACATATAAGAACTCCTTCTCTCACTTTCTACTTGCCTGACTACTAGTTCTCCCTACCCTCTTATTTATAAGCCTTTAGGTAACAACTTTTGTTTATGTAACCAAATCAGTTGCTAGTTCCCGCCCATCCGCTCCCTCCACCTTCTTAGGCCTTCTAGAATACGTGTGTATGATGGGGGGTCTATCACATTCTCAGGGTTGGAAGCACAGAAATCAATAATAGTGATTTACATAATAATAATAATAATAATAATAATAATAATAATAATAATAATAATAATAAACACTAGTCCTAAAGTAATCATCTTATAGCAACAGTGGCATCTAATTTAATGAAGGGTTTATATTATGTACAGAAAATAATAAATAAAACACGCTCAGTTCTCAGTAAGGTTGCAGACTTTAATTTGACTGAACCAAGGATTTATTGTTACAACAGGTTACAATTACAACCAGCATATTTTCCATTTTAATATCTCAAGTCAAACAGAAATTATATAACCAAAGACTTCTGTTGCAGAAAATTTTCATGCAAATCCCTTCTAGCCAATCAAGAATAATGGTACTGGCCTTCAATGAAAATTGATGGTAAAACATCAGTGCCCATTTCATGTCAGTGTATATAACCTTCAATATTATACAAGCCTAAGTAGCCTCTACTCTCGTTTCGGCTCTTTTTTGAATTTCCTATTTTCATATGGTGTATGAGCTAGGTTTGAGATTAGGTGGGCCAAATTTTATACAATTCATTTGCATTTTTCTTCAGTTCAAGTGGAATTTGAACTCACATCCTTAGGTATTGATCCCTATTCTCAAGAGTAAAGAGAGGGAAAATGAGTCACTCTATCCACTGCCACTATAATCAGGATGGAAACCCATGCTTGCTAGGCTAGAACAAGATGAAAACATTGATCTTAAAACTTTATGGATACAATCATAGACATGTTACAAGTGTAAATATAAATATGGCAAAGACAGAAGCCCGAAAACTACATACCTTGACTGATAGGATTCATTAAAGCTAGACATTAGATATTCACTCATAGAAAGTAAGATTGGTCCCAAAGTTGACCCTGCAGCCTCAACAGCATCATCTAGGGCCTTCTGTGAATTAGGGAACCTGTAAGTCGTCTGTCTAAACCTTTGAATCCAGCCCCCATGGACATGCTCCGCAACCTACATGGTGATAAGCATTTTACTCAGGAGACAATTTACAAGGGATTTTAAAGAAGAAAAATAAAAGTGGAAAAAAAATAGTTAAAAACCTCATTTGCAATTGGCGAGGATAGGTCAAAAGGAATTGGACCACCCCCACCACCACCAGTTAATAGAGGATTGAAGAAAGAGGTTGTGAAGGTCACTGATTGCTGATCGGGATGCGGCTTAAGCTTGAGAAAAACAAGACCCAAAAGTAAAAATATGGCAGGAATTAGAAGCTGGAAAACTATCGTTTTCCTATCTCTTCGAGCTGAGATTGCTCTCTTTATCATTAACGCCTTTAAATGTTTCCAAAATGTAGACCTTGAAAATATACAACAGCAACAGCACTGCATACTTAGGAACTGAATGACATTTAGCACAGTAGCGAAAAATAGACCGCAAGCTTTCCCAATTACTGAAAATATAAGTCCAATGACTTCAAAATAACTTCTACAAAGTTTTGAGTCAAAGGTTGTCTTTGGAGCATCATTTGGCTGATGAAAATTATCAGATGAAACTAGAGATTTCTTCTCATCAGAGCACTTGGTTTCATCAAAATCACCTCCAGCAACTCTCAGGAATACTTCCTCCAAAGTTGTGACAGATATGCCAAAACTCTCAATGCCAAGAGAAACAATGTCCCCATAGCCAGTCAATTCAAAGTTAGGATCTGATCTTTGCATGCAGCACTCTATCTCCCGAAACATGCATTCAAAGGACGATGAGGATGCAAGAGGGAGCTTAAATGAAATTTCAGTACCAACCTGCAGAGGCATTTTTTTTTTTTTTTTAAAAGGTAATCAAATATTTTATTAATCAATGAAAAATACACAGGAAGTATATTATCAATTTAAAACAGAAAGGAACAACATATGATTGGACAGCCCATCTATATGCCTAGTAACCACAACATTAAACTAAGTATACAATGTCAAACAAAACAATTCTCCAATCTGCTCTATCTCTGTAACATAAAAACCCCTTGTTCGAAGATTATTCGCAGTTAACACGTCCCCTGACAACCGTCCATAGTAAAAATGCCACTCTTAGAGGTAGATTACAATTTCATACCATCTTTCAAGGAAATGAACTCCGCGGGTCCCAAAAAGGATCTAAAATACGTGCTGACTAAGAAGATACCATCCCATGTCAACATCCATATGCTACAATCACCCTCTCCTACCCTGATGTGCACTTCATACAAGGATGTCAATATAATCATCCACTTCCCAGTCCTGCAAACCCCGCCGAAAAACAATGCTCCAATTAAGACTTCCATTATGCACATCTAAGACTTCATTCACCATAGTGGACGGCTACAAAGCAATTCGATACAAAGAGGGAAATCCTTCCCTAAGCGATTACTCTCTACACCAACAATCATCCTAAATACTAATAGCATTGTCATTCCCCACCACAGAAGTCAATCTATCCTGAAAAACGCTCCACCCTTATCAGATATACTGCCACAAACACACTCCATAAGAGCCTCAACCATCGATTGAGCTACCCCCCCCCAGAACACCATATTTTGCCCCCATAATTTCTCTCTAAAAGCTCTCTCTCCACTCAGAATCGCCACACCACTTACCTAACAATCCTTTATTAAACAATACAAGGCTCCTCACTTCGAGACCCCCCACCCTTAGGGGAGAACAAATTGCATCGCTAACCAAATGTAATTTCTTCTCCTCTCCCAAACTGTCCCATAGGAGCTCCCTTTGAATCCTCTCTAGTCTTTTTACCACTGAAATTGGAATAGGAAATAATGACAAATAATAAGTAGGGAGATTTGACAAAGTAGACTTAATAAGAGTAAGACGGCAACCCTTTGAGAGACATTCGCTTCCACCTAGTTAGCCTTCTCTCCACCATGTCCACAATACTGTACCAAATATGTGTACTTTAAATCGTGCTCCTAAAGGAAGCCCACGATATGACAAAGGCAACCGCACAACCTTGCAACCCAATATAGCAACTAACTCCTGCACATTTTCAACCTCTCCCACTATTATAGCCTCAGATTTTCCCAAATTTATCCTCAGTCTAGATGTAGCTTCAAAGCATAGAAGCAAACAACGCAAGTTCCTAAATTGCTCAACATCTGCATCACAGAAGATCAGCGTATCATCTGCAAACAAGTGAGATACCTACAACTGATCAATCATGGAGCCCCTTAATAATCCCTCCTCCACAGTCTTCTCAAGCATCCTACTGAAAGCCTCCATCTCATTACAAAAGGCAATGGAGATAAAGGATCTCCTTGCCTTAGTACTCTACTACTACAAAAATAACCCTCAGGAGTACCGTGCACCATAACTGAGAAAGAAACTGTAGAAATACAAAACTAAATCCACTGGCACCACTTATCCCCGAAGCCACATTGCCTAAGCATATACAAAAGAAATCCGCAATTTAAGTGATCATAAGCCTTCTAAATGTCAAGCGTACATAACATTCCTGGAACCCCTAGACGCATTATTAAGTCGATGCATTTATTCACTATAGGTACGGAATTCAGAATTCGGCACCCTTTGACAAAAGCATTCTGAATCTTAGACACTACTTTCCCCAACACCTCATTTAATTTGTTCGCCAAAATCTTCGCAATAATCTTGTACACCCCACTCACTAAACTAATAGGTCGAAAGTCCTTGTTATACATCGCTCCTGGTTTCTTAGGAATTAGCACAATAAATGAAGCATTGGAGCATCTCAATAACCTGTAGCACTGGAAAAAATACGTAAGGATATCTACAATATCCAATCGCTCGACTTCCCAACAAGCCTTATAAAATGAGAATGAAAAACCGTCTGATCCTGAAGCTTTGTCGTCATTCATGCTGAATACCACCTCTTTAATTTCACCATCCTCGAATAATCTCTCTAACCAACTAGCGTCCTCTTCATTAATAATAGAATAATCTAGCTCTTTTAGCTCTGGCCTCCATTCAAACTGCTCCCAATAAAGAATTTTGTAGAAACTTACTATTTGGGACCCAACATCCTGTGGCCCCATCTACCTCCAGCATAGTGATAGAATTGTTTCGTTTGTTCAAATTAGCGACCCTGTGAAAAAATTGAGTGTATTTGTTCCCCCTCTTTCACCCACTTGACCCTAGATTTCTAACACCGAGCTATCTTTTCCATCTCCACCAACCTCTCCAACTCTCCCTTTAATTCTCCGTGTCTCTCCCTCACATCCCCTACCAATCTTTGACTCTCCTCCCTTCTATCAGCTTTTCTATGTTTGAAAGGCATTGATTTTCATGACAGTTAATATCTCCCACCACCTCCTCATTCCACCTCTTCAGATCCCTTTTCAACGCCTTCAATTTTCGATCTAGCATGTAACTAGGAAACCCTTTGAAGTCACATAACGTCCACCATGCCCATACTCGCTCCACAAAACTTTCTACTTTTAGCCACATCTTCTAAAACCTAAAAGGCTTACTTCACGTGCATCTCACATTCCCAGATAACGAAATAGGGAAATGATCTAAATACACCTTTCCCAATCTCCTCTAAGTAACCTCTGGGTACTTAGCATCCCACTCTCCACATACTAGAAACCAATCTATTCGAGACAAGACAAGTTGATCCCGATTGGATGGCCAAGTAAAATCTCCACCCATCATAAGCAGGTCCAACAATATGTTCTCCCTGATCAAATCTGAGAAGTCCTTCACAACTCATGTTAACCTCCCACCAGTAGACCTCTCAGTAGGATATCGAACTACAATAAAATCTCCTCCAATACACGTTTGGGAGATTCCACCAAGCCTCATACCAGCTAACTCATCCCATAATCCACTTTTACTCATCAACATTGGGCCCATAAACTCCTATAAACATCCATCGAAATTCATCCTCAATATTTTTAAACGAAAGAGCAAGAAAAAATAGCCCTTCACAAACCTCCTTCATATCAAAAACTCTAGTGTCCCACATAACTAGCACACCTCCTGAAGCCCTGATGACCCCAAAAACTATTACCCAACATGCTGTCCCCCAATAGGCTAGTCACAACAGCCCTCGAAAGGACCTCCAACTTGTTTCTTGTAAGCACACAAGGTCAGCCCTCCAATTCCTTATCAGATTCTGAACGCTTAACCTTTTCTCGACTTCGTTGAGCCCCCTTACATTCCAACTAACTATTTTTTGGATCATCTTAACACTCCATCATCCCTCCCTATCAGTCCTCTCCTAGACTCGCCTCCTTTGATGTTATAATTAACCGAGCATTCAAGCCGCTTAAGTTCATGATCACCCTTTTTTCATGTCTTACCTCCTGGTGTACCTACCTCCTATCCCCTACTAGCCTCCAGTTCATCAAATAATTGCAGTAGCCTATTTTCGTACCCATCACAAGACATACCCACCATCTTACTCAATTCCAGAATTTTTTGGAGAGCCCAACTCGACGGTGGTGATCTAATGTCACGCATCTTGCCATTCGCTATCTCCTCATCGTATGCAAAATCATAGTAGTGTCCCTCCTCTTCCTCAATCTGTGCTGCATCACTACATATACCCCCTTTCTCGACCCCATTAACCCACACCACCAAAGCTTTATCATTCCTTACCTCTCCTTCTTTTATAACTTTCAAATATCTCCTTGTGTAGGTATTCATTCCCATAGTGGCAAAGCCTGTTGACCCTTGCAGTTTTTCAATTACCGAAGCTGGATTTTCTACCAATACAATTCCGTTTTCTTGCTCCATTTCCAACACTAATCCCTCTGCTGCATTCTTGTCCAACGTATCTCGATCGTGGGGGCAATTTTCTTTGGTCGTATCGGGGATCTTCAACTGCAGATTCAACATACTCGACTCCCCTACCTTAGCCGAAGGTCCCACCTCTACTGCTTTAGTCCCTACTTGGGACTCCCCACTTGGCTCGACAAACACCTCCTTACTGTGGGTCCAAGTTTGCTACATTTATACCGTTGACTAGACACTCATCCAAATCCACTCCGCATTTATAACAATAATTTTTCCTGGCACTCACTACATTCCCACTATCCATACATAATTAATTCATCTAGTTCTCCTTTCAAAGCCTTAAATGGTCTCTTATTTTACCTCCATTCAAAAAACCATCACATATACTCTCTTCTGTTGTCTCCTTAGACTTGTGAACTGTCGAATGTCATTCCTCATTAGGTCCCGAGATATGCTCGTGTGTAGCACTAGAGGCACACTACATTTTATGTCTACTTCAAGTTCAGCATAGTGCAATCAATTTATGATGATTGCAGAACATATGTCCCTTTGTTTGTATTTCAATTCTCGTGTGTTCGCCCCATTCTTTCACCCATTGTTTTCTTCATAGAAACAAATGGACGATTACATCTCTTTAAAGGATAATCACAGCATATGGTGCGCTAAAACGTAATCACTCAAGACAAAATCATGCAAGATGAGAATAAGACCAAGAGTACTTCCTAAGCAGTAATAAGAAGCATCACATCCAGCCAACATGAAGAAAAAAAATCATAAACAACACTATAAAAAGTAGAGTGGTTGACAATCAAATACCAGTAGTTGGTGGCAGCAAATATAAGAGAAAATGCAACACATGGCCTTGAGCAATCGTGAAAGATCTCAAGTAATAAAGAAAATACAAAGAAAAACCTGAACCGCCATAGTGTTTGGGCAATATGTGATGTGGGTATTCAGCCTGAAAAAGTTAGTTCAAGCTTCTTTTGTCAAACTGTTTTGTGACTAACTGAAAAAACCCACAACTTGTAGGGATGTAGGGAAATATATTGTCGTCAAAATCACTTTTTTTAAGATTAAAACTTTAGAATATTCAAAAAAGTGTAATTGATCACTCACAAAACAAGGATAATCTTCACAATTCAAAAGGCAATGCAATTTCTCTTCCATGACATATCTCATTCAGCTACCTTTCATTTGTAAACTTCCAAACTAGATCAAGTGAGAAAATGTAGTTACATAAGAGGTACCAAATTCCAAATAAATATGAAAGAGACTTACTTCTTCAGCCATTTCAATAACAACATTCTCCAAATAGTCTTCATTCACGCCTTTTATATTACCAAATATTTCCAAGTGCTCCTTCACCTGAGTAAAGCAGATTCAAATACAATCTTTTCAGCACAGGCATTGGATAAAACGAAAAGTCAGAAATATATATCAAGAAGCCACAAGGAAAGCAATCTAGCAGCATGAATCTTCTTTTTCAGTCAATCGGGGCACATTTTTATTTGAAAAAGAAAAAAGAAAAACTTTTTCCAAGCAAAAAAAAATTGTTCAAAAAACTATAATTCGTTCAATTTCAGAGGACTATTAAGTTTAAAGGTTTGATTATGGTCAGAACACCAAAATAGAAATATGAACGAAATCTTCTAATAATAATGAACTATGAACGGAGATTCTAGGAGTTAAACCATATTGGAAGGAAAAGAAAAATTGAGGACCATGGAAATGTAAGATAATACAGCTCCCACAGAGGTAAAATCCAAAAGAAAGAAAGCAGAAACCAAAGAGAGTACCCTTTTTTTCTTTCAGAAATGTGGAGAGAGTGATGTTGCAGGGGTATGCATTTATAATAGGGAACATCACTATTAAAGAAAGGAATTAAAAAGAGAAGTTGAAAAATGAGGTGTGGATAAACCCGTGTTAAAAAAAGAAATTACAAAAAGATAAAAATGCACAAGGAAAACTATGCTGATTAACAATCGGTTATTAACCTCACTAATCAAAAGAAGTTGGAAGAAAAAGAAAACTTTTTTGCATTCTATTAAAAGAAAAAGAACTTCTCTTACAGTCAATTCAGGAAAAAGAATGTCATGTTGAGGACATATGCCCAAACTTTTCCGTATCTCATTCTGCAAAACCGACAAAGTAACAGCTAAATAAGAATCCCATAAACTAATATTTCCTAAAGTCATTCAGTGAGAATGATAAATGTATATTTATTGAAGTATATAAGCTAACTAATAACACATATATTCTCTTCTAGTATTAAATTATGTAAAGCAGCAAATGTTACAAGTTTGAATGATCTCAACGTGGGTTATCTGGAACTTGGAAATGATGATCAATAAGAAGCATAAATTTCAACAGAATCTAATTTTTTTTTTTTAATTCTTTCCATCCCCAAAATACCAATTCCATGGACTTTGGAATGATTCTTCATTGTAATTTTTGTCATCCTACCCTGACTACTTAAGTCTTAATTTTTGCCATTAATAATAAATGCAAATTGAAACCTTTACAAAGACACAGGAGAAAGTGCCTAAACAAGTAAATTTTTGAAGAACCTTGCTACATATACATCAAGCTTTACATAATGGATTACATAATACATCATTTGCCAATTTAAAACATAGTCAACTTTTTTATCCAATCTTTTCCTTCCATATCATTTTATGTAATCCCTTATGTACAACTTTTATGTACAAGTAGCATAATCCATTTTTGAAATATAAAAGCATTTCATATGAAACCTTCTAGTGGACAATCATGTTACCATAAGGATGTACACTGGCTCCTCCCCCAACTATTCTTATATATACCATGAGACTTTATGTGCATGCATAGGTTGTACCAGATTAAACGAGTCAGTGCTTATATTCATTTACCAGAGGTTACAAGTCTCTGTTGATTGTATTAAAAAAAAGGAAGAAAGCTAATATCCAAATCAGCCAATGCAAAGTACTAGGAAGATTGAAACGAGACACTGAAACTCAATTTTATGACACGAAAATGAGTCAAAATTTATTCATATGTTGTTTCAGTATTTCAGCCAGAAATTTTTAAATTTCAAATTTTGAAATCAATTTCATATCCTCAACAAAGTATAAGAATATTGAGCATGCTTTGCTACACCTAAAAAAGAAGCAAAGTAACACTTTTCAAGAAGTAAATACTCATTTTAAAAAAGTAACATTTTGTACTAGAATTCCCAAGAAAAAAAGGAGCTTCTAAAGAGAAACTGAACATGTTTGGAAACCAACTTTTAAAGCTTCAAACATGTTTGGCTAAGCTTAAAAGTTACTTTTGTGTAGCTTTACTTTTAGTTTAGGCTTAGCCACACATGCTTATAGCCTGGATATCCTTGGTTTCACTTGAGAAGAGTTAGTTATTTTGTCATGGCTACCACACGAACTGCATCACCACGTATTAGAAGTTCACTAGATGTATTATGCACCACATATTTGATGGATTCTCAAACAGAAGTTCAAATTAGCCAATCTGAAAATTTTCAGTTATCGAGTTATTGAAGTTCATATAATGTTCTGAGATACAAAAAATGGATACTCCATCAGAAAATTACCATGTCTGTTGAGATGTTCTTTCCAAAAACTAAAGCATCCCCTGAGGTAGGAGGAAGAAGGCCAGCGAGCATGGATATTGTTGTGCTTTTACCAGCTCCATTATGTCCTTCAGAATATAATTTGAGGTCAATCACAAAGAAGAAAAAATGACACATGGCAATTGAATAGAAGAAACAACTTTCTGTGTTTTGATAAATAGAGTGAAAATACAATTCAGCAAACACAAACACATAATGAAGGGAGCCAAATCGTCATCTTAAGAATCTGTCTAGGCTTCAAGGTGTGTGTGTATAATTCTTAAACGGGTCCCTAGGATTATAAAAAAAATAATAATAATAATAAGAAGAAGAAGAAGAAGAAGAAGAAGAAAATAATAATAATAATACTAAAAAGAAGCATACTTAGCAATGAAAGTGCGTCAATGGCTTTTTTTTTCACATGGAAGCATTTTTTTCAGCCTTCCAGCACATACACAACCATTCCTTAATGTAGATTTCTATTTGCTGAATTATCTTATCCCAACATAATATGTAATGCTCCAAGTCCAGACAAAAAACCATAGTCTCAAGGAGTATTTTGTTCCACAGAGCTGACCAAGGATATATTCGAACCTTGAAGCATCTAATTCCACACACCTCCAATTATTTATTAAATCCAAGACAAAGGAGAAGTTTTTTATTGTTTCCTAATGAAAATGTTTGTGATCTCGAACTGCATAAAACATTGAAATCTTTTAGCGGGCTTACTAGTTAATGCTTTGCAATAGATCTTCAGCTTTTTCCCCAACTATTCCAACCATCATTAGATTATTCAATTTCATATCATTGAAAATTAGATCTTTAATAGCACATATAGCTGCAACTTTTTGATTTTAACATTTCTACGTGGAATATCTTCACTTATAAATCCTCTATAAGTGCATACATCAACATCAGCTATTGAGATGCTAGGCAAAGCAAACTGTAGCCGGGCGCGTCTATTAAAGCATCCAGAAACCAACTTTAATGTAAATTGCTAAAAGACAAAAGATAGCAAAGGAATAAACAAACCAACAGCAGCCCTGAATATTTAACTTCATTTAAGATCGATGAAGAATATAAATTGAAACACTAAATAAAGTAAGTCATGGCTACCTAGAAGAGCGAGAATTTGATTTTCATATAATGTCAGCTGTAAAGAATTGACAGCACAACAGTTTCCCTTCTTAGTGGTATACACCTTGTGCAAATTCCTCATCTGAATGCATCTGCAAAAGAAGATTTTAAATTCATGAGTATGATGTTATCTGGCATGTTCACTCGCACAAATGCCGAGGCTTGGATTATAGAATATTTACCGGCCATCGAGTTCTTGTTGCTTCATTTCTAAGCTTGTCGCTTCCACAGCTGCCTTGTATGCATCTTTTTCAAAAACACTAGCATTTACCTCAGAATGACCACCTGCTACTTTAACTTGTGAGCTGGAAGCGTACTCTTCACTAGTTCTCTTCTTCCTCCGAAAACACTTACAAAACATGAAGTTCCAAGGATTATCATTCTCCTTCTGTAGGACCTGATTTCATATAAAATGCTCCAACTCATCTTTAAGGTTAAGAAAATAAATATTGGTTTTGATGTCATAATCTGGTATTACAGTTTACCAGGGCCTCCAGTTATGCAAACATAGTACTTTCAGGACAAGAAGAACCCAGACACAAGAAATTTAAAAGACATACCTTATCTAGAAAAAGACCAATTACACAGTACAAGAAAGTGTCGAGCAACATCATCAGGAGGCAGACCAAAAAGTTAACCCCAGAAGAATCCTGTAGTGACACACTAAATTTCAACTTAATAAGATTGTAATTGACACATAGAAGAAGATCAAAATTTATTAACAAAACATACCCGCCAGATGTTGCTCCATCGAAGTCCAACATGAGCGCGCTCATAGTCAGCAAAATTAACCGACCCTAATGCAAAGGCTGTGGGTGAAAGAAAAGAGGCCATCACCTTTAGTACCCTACAAGTATACACAGAGAAATGTCTTATGCACCATGCTTGAAAAGTGTATAAATTGTTGTCATATGAGCAGGGTACTGACATAGAAACGGCCTGGTCACTGACGGTATAATAAGGGAAAAATGCGCCAAGAAAAGAAAGTGTCCCGACTGTTACTGCTGTCTTCGCCCGTGTAAAGAATGTCGAGATTAGGAATGACAGCATTATTGAGCTAAGTCCAAATGAGAAGAAGTAAGTGAAGACTAGCGACTTGTCGCTGTACTTAAAAAGGGTTCCCATTGTGCAGAGAGTGATTATCCCGGATGATATAGCAAACTGCCAAAGAGATAAAGCATTGAAAAGAACTTCAATGGTCAGTCTTCACAAAACAGTACGAGGAGAAGGCCTCCGTGACCTAAGCAAGGTACAAATCTTTGGACTAAAGCTATAAAGATATGTGATATGGAATCAATCGTGTATGATCAATGTGAAGTATCCATATACCACAAGGGTGCTTAAGCATGCTGATGTATGACTCCACAAGTCCTATCCTACTTAAATGCAATGATAATAATGGGCCATGTGTGTGTGTAACAATGGTTCATATAAGAAGTAAAATCATAAAATATAACACGTGAGGGAGAAAATGAAGGGGGCACGATGCATTATAGATCTTAACACAAAGCCAGCAATGACAAGATATTTTGCCCTAAAGGTTGGCAGAGTTGGCAAGAAAAGAAGGATGTCATGCAACTGCAGTAATGCAATTGCAATACAATACTGAAAATTTTCTACCTGAAATGCATATGTTACAAACCACGAGAAATGGAATATCTCATCCTTCAGACCCATCATGTAGAGACCTTCCTTAATCTTCAGCTCCTGAAGTATTAGTAATGTACTTAGCACAACATGCTTTTAAAGCAACAAACTCTGTATTGATATGTTGGCAATGAAGAAAAAATAATTGAGAGCAAGAGTTGCCACAAGTTGTCATCACCTTTTCCAGAACAGAATAACTAATCAAGCGGGAGATTGGATAGAGAAACCCCAGCAAGTACCTGTTCAGTGGCATGTTATCAACTAAAGGTTCAAAAAACCTCATAATGAAGTTGGAAAAGGTTCAAAGAAGATATCAGAAAATGCCAAAGAATTACATACAACACTCCCATGACTGTCTTGACAATGGACTGGAACTCATCATCAGTATATTCACGAGTTGGAAATGGTGCTAGTCTTATGTTTGCAGGCATAAAATTTGTCCATGGTGTCTGGAGTTTTGAGTGTACTCCAGATAAGTTTGAAGGTGAACCAACATCTTCAGTGACTAAGTTAGTCCCACGTTGCTGTGCAGCATATATTATGAATGAATCCATGAGTTGTTGAAGCTGCACATTGGAAAGAGAGAGAACCATATGGATAATTTCCTTGCAGTTTCCAGTTCCAAAATAAAGAGAAAATAGATTTGCAATTTGAGAAGACAAAAGCTTATTTTGGCATAACTTTTCTTGGTTACAGTGGCAAAACATTCAAAATCTTCTAACTTTAAAAAAAAAAAAAATAAATAAAAATAAAAATAAAAATATTATTGTCTTTACAACAATAAGCACTGGCAGAAAAACAATCTCCTATGATCCATACTCTATCAACATGCATTTAGAAACAGTAATAGAGCAGCCTATGTTCCAGATTGAAACTTTAATGCATATAGAAGCAGACAATTCCCATCATATTTTGCCGCTACCGTAATCCACCCAAAGAGTGAACGAGAAACACACCTCACAACATCAGAACTTAACGAGATCCAACGAATATGGATATCATCAAATCAGATAATTTTTCTTCCTGTCAGCAATACAGTTGTCCACAACATTTTAATAACAAAACCATGTCATTTTATTCAGTCATAAAATAAGGAATTAGCTTGTCTTTCAGAATGTCCAATCATCACAAAAACTATTACTCATGCTGTACTCTTATCTTCAGCAAGCATCAAATATAGTTAAAATTGCGAGCATGTGATCATGTCTGAAACATAATAACATAAAGCAAATATTCACCAATTTGTACAAGTATCAATATTAAACCGCCTCATCTAAAAGCTTAAGTTGTTAGATAGTGCACATTCAATTATTTAAATTTAGTCTTCATCACGCCACGTCGCTTGCAGGATGGATTCATTTTTATTCAAAAGGACGGACAAGTGCAAGATTTTCACAAAAAAGTGGTGGCAACACTTGAATTCAGGACATTTGCAAAGCTACTATGATACCATCTTGAACCTCCTCATCTAAAAACTTAATTTCCATGGTATTAGGTATCCTTTTTGCAGTAACCTAAAGTGAAATTTCAGCTATCTATATATGAATGCACATCATTAACTAATTACAAAAAGCAATTGCAATTAGCTAAAGTTAAAGAAGGATAGTGAGATCATACAGTTAAAAATCCACTGAAGCCATACTGCATTATTGGTATTGTATTCACACCCAATTCCAAGTCATTAAGATATGGACCATTCAAGTCCATGATGGACTTAACATCAGGAAACCCCGAGAAAGCCCATGTGTGGTTAAGGCGTATGCTATAGTCAAAAGACTGAGGGCCTTGTTCATGAAACACAATTGCTCCTTTGATTTTTGGGTTTGTACTATTCCTACAGACAGACAATCATGAAAAAAAGCATGTTATGAACTATGTTATAAGAAAAGGAAACTTGATTGAGAATATAATTTCTCCTTCAAATTTTATTCATACTATTCCAACAAAGAGAAGGAAAAGAGCATAACTTTTATTTATACTTAGAGAGATAAACCTGAACCAGTGACAAGACAGTGTAAACTACGTAATAAGAGAAGGAAAATAACACAAAAATAAATAAATAAATAAACACAAGGAGTACAGGATCAAAGAGAAAATGTTAGTCATGAAAGGAGTTTCCAGAAAGTGAAAATTAGATAGAAAAACAAAGGCTTAGGTATTTGTTCCCAATAAAATATACAGATGAAGATTCAAGCTGGCAACATGCAAACTAGTAATTTAGTAAACCTTCTAAACAAGTCAAATAGCAAGTTTACTAGTTCTTGAAGTTGAAGTTAAACTACTTTTAAGTTACATATTTGCCAAACATAATTTTCAGTTTCATTTTCTTTTTATACTTTTAAAGCATACTTTTCTAAAACTTACTTTTTACTGTTTTAGGAAAGTACTTTTAAAATTAAGACAACCAACAATGATCAAAATTGGCCAATGATGACAACTGAGTAAACTTTAACTCGTGTAAATAAAGCTGAAACTGAAACTCAACATTTGACCTCAATCAAATATAAGAGCAAAAGGAAAGCATGAAATTTAAAATAAAATAGAATCTTGAAGACTTGAACACAAACCTTATTAAGTCACTTGATATGGAGTTGTGGAGTCTATTGAAGGCATAATTACAAAAAGGAAAATATTAAACAGATATTTACTAAACAGACCGTGCTGTGTATGCAGAGAAGGGGGACCAGAAATTGAATAATAGCTCAGACAAAAAAAACAGAAAGAAACATCAGAGCATCCAGTAAAAACCTCTTCTCAAGTCTTCACTAATTTCTCACATTATGCACTTGAAACAAGAAAGAGAATGAGTGAAATACGACTCACTTTACTTTATCATAAGCAGCGTAAAGATCCGAGTGTATGTATGTCTCAAGCTCTTCTTCATCTTTGTACACCCTTGAAGCCAGCTGAAATACATTTTCAATTGTATTCATCAGCAAAAAGGAAAATAAATTAATGCATTATCCAAAAATAGCAAAAGCAGTAGACATCAACAATATAAATATTGATTATAAAACTTGAAACTGGTAGTATTTAGATCCTATTCGGACATTCTTTTGAAACACAACATTCCCAAAATATTTTCATCTGCAATGTGCAGAATTTTATGTATTTGGGTGCATGATAATTGATTTTAATGTCAAAGAAAATATGAAAATTTAAGTCAAAATATATCAGGTATCAGCACTGGAACTGATTCAATCAATAAGCAGAATCTTTTAGGACCCCATGTATCTCATACCCTGATTATAGTATCTATTTCCTTTTCTATTTTCACTTTTACGCCTGGAGTGGTTATATTCCGATTCTCCTTTCAAGTTTACTTGTTTATTTAGTAGGATTGATTGGGAGTGATTTTCAAATCTTACAATGTT